GGTGCCTGGACTCACTGTTTTCAGCTGGCTTCCACGCTCCGATGCCTGGAAACTCTGCTGCACTCAGGCACCCCCATTCTTCTTGTGACCTCCGGGGATCCTGAGACCATGCTGTCCCACCTAGGATTCTGCCCTGCTTCACCACCTGAGCACTTTTAAGCCAGGCGCATCCCCCACTGTAGCCGACCTCTAAAAGTTCCCATTTCGCACTCTGCTGCTTATAATATTTAGCAGTAGCCTCCTGAAGCAGGCTCCCTCTTTGCCGTATCCCCAGCTATATCACACTGGGTTCAGTCTCCTTACCTCCTACCTTCAAATGGTGGTCACTTTTCTACTTGCAGACTTGCAGCATTTGTTTTCTCATATCTCTGATTGATTTCTCAGGTGTTCAGAATGATTTGATAACTATCTAGTTGTATTCAAGGGATGAGACCAATTTAGGGTCCCCCTACTCCTCCACCATCTTAACTCCTCACTCCTCTGTTTCTTCTTGGTTCACATTCTGGAAGATTGTGTTTCTAGAAATTTAACGATTTCTTCTAGGTTGTCCAATTTGTTAGCATGTAAGTTTTTATAATATTCTCTTATAATTCTTTATATTTCTGTAGTGGTGTTATTTCTCCTCCATTTCTCATTTTATTTGAGTCCTCTCTTCTTGATGAGTTTGGCTATAAATTTATCAATTTTGCTTATCTTTTTAAAGAACCAGCTCTTGGTTTCATTGATCTTTTCTATTCTTTTTTGTGTGTGTGTGTGTCAGTTTTATTCATTTCTCCTCTAATCTTTATTATTTCCTTCCTTCTACTAGCTTTGAGCTTTGTGTGTTCTTTTTCTAGTTCAAGTGTATAAGGTTATTTTTTTTTAATATTGTTTCTTGACCTAGGCCTGTATCAGTATAAACATTCCTCTTAGAAGTGCTTTTTCTGTGTCCTAAAGATTTTGGACTAATGTTTTTGTTTTTGTTTTCATGTATTTTTTTTTTATTTTCTCTTTTATTTGTCATAACATCAGTTGTTTAGTTGTATGTTATTTTTTGGCCTCCATGTGATTGTGCTTTTTCTAGTTTTTTAAATTGTAATTGATTTCTAGTTTCATATCATTGTGGTCAGAAAAGGTGCTTTAGATGATTTCAGTATTCTTAAATCTGTTTAGACTTGTTTTGTGGCCCAGCATGTAATTTATCCTGGAGAATGTTCCATGTGCCCTTGAAAATAATGTGTATTCCACTCTTTGTAGATAGAATGTTCTATATGTAGCTGTTAGGTCCATCTGGTCTAACGTGCCATTCAAGGACAGTTTGCTTGTTGATTTTCTGCCTGGATAATCTATCCATTGGTGTAAACGGGGTGTAAAAGTCCCCTACTATTATTGTATTACTTTCACTTTCTCCCTTTATGTCTATTAATATTTGCTTTATGTATTTAGGTGCTCCTGTGTTTGGTGCATATTTACAATTGGTATCCTTTTGATTGATCCCTTTATCATATGTAATGCCCTTCTTTGTTTCTTGCTACAGTCTGTTTTAAAGTCTTTTCTGTGTGATATAAGCATTGTTACCGCAGCTTTTTTTTTTTTTTTTTGCTTCCATTTGCATATCTTTTTCCATCCCTTCACTTTCAGTCTGTATGTGTCTTTAGGCCTGATGTAACTCTCTTGTAGGCAGCATATAGATGAGTCTGGTTTATTCAGTCACCCTGTATCTTTTGACTGGAGCATTAAGTCCATCTACATTTTAAGTAATTATTGATAAGTATGTGCTTATTGCCATTTTTGAAAATTTTCTATGGTTGTTTTTGTAGTTCTTTTCTGTTCCTTTCTTCTTTTGATCTCTTCCCTTGTGATTTGATGGCTTTCTTTAGTTTATGCTTGGATTTAGTTCTTTTGTGTATTTACTATAGGTTTTTGATTTGTGGTTACCATTGGGTTCCCATATAACATCCTATGTGTATAGTACTCTATATTAAATTGATGGTCACTTAAGTTTGAACACATTCTAAAAATACTTCCCTCTCCATGTTTTATGTATATATCATATTTTATACCTTTGTATTTTGTATACCCCTTGACTAATTTTTGTAGATATAATTGATTTTACTACTTTGTGTTTTAACCTCCACACTGGCTGTTTATAAGTGATTAATCTGCCTTTTCCATCTGATTGCTTTTACCTGTGAATTTTTTTTTCCTTTTATACTTTTCATACTTCTAGGTATGGCCTTTTCTTTCCACTTAAAGAATTCTCCTTACATTTCTTGTAAGGCTGGTTTAGTGTTGATGAACTCCTTTAATTTTGCTTGTCTGGGAAACTCTTTATCTCTCCTGTTCTAAATGATAGCTTTGCTGGCTAGAGTGTTTTTGGCTGTAGGTTTTTTCATGACTTTGAAGATATCATGCCATTCCTTTCTGGCCTGCAAAGTTTTTGTTGAAAAACTACCTGACAGGCTTATGGGATTTCTTTTGTATATAACTGTCTTCTCTTGCTGCTTTTAAATCTTTATCATTACTTTTGCCATTTTAATTATTAAAATACCAACTTGAGTTCATCTTCCTAGGGACTCTCTATGCTTCCTGGACCTGATGTCTGTTTCCTTCCCCAGATTAGGGAAGTTTTCAGCTATTATTTCTTCAAATGAATGTTCTGACTCCTCTCTCTCTTTCTCTTTTGTGACCCCTGTAATGCGAATGTTAGGACATTTGATGATGTCACAGAGTCCCCTTAACCTAGTCTAACTTTTTTTATTGTTTTTCCTTTTCAGCTTGGTTGTTATCTATTATCATTTTGTTGATATCAGATTGTTGACCCATTTTTTTTTACAGTCTTTCATCTGTTATTGATTCCCTCTAGTGTATTTTTCATTTCACTTATTGGATTCTTCAGCTCTGACTGGTTCTTATTTTTTTTGAAGATTTTATTTATTTATTTGACAGAGAGAGACACAGCGAGAGAGGGAACACAAGCAGGAGGAGTGGGAGAAGGAGAAGCAGGCTTCCCGCCAAGCAGGGAGCCCGATGCAGGGCTCAATCCCAGGACCCCGGGATCATGACCTGAGCCAAAGGCAGACGCCCAACGACTGAGCCACCCAGGCGCCCCTGACTGGTTCTTTTTTAATTTTATATCTCTTTGTTAAAGTTCTTAGTTAGCACATCCTCTTTTCTCCAGTCCAATGAGTATCTTTATGACCATTATTTAGAATTTATTATCAGGCATATTATCTCTGTTTTATTTAGTTCTTTTACTGTGATTTTGTTTTGTTCTTTCATTTGGGACACATTCCTCTGTCTCCACATTTTCTCCAACTCTGTGTCTCTGTGAATTTGGAAGGTCAGCCCTGTCTCCTGCTCTTCAAAGTAGTGGCATTGTGTAAAGGGTCCTGGGGTGCCCTATAACGCAATCCCACCTGGTCACCAGATTCAGGCACTCTAGGGATGTCCCATGTCATGTTTGCACCCTCTTGTGGCTGAGCCCTGATTGCCTCCAGCCCAGCTGTCTGCAGTAAGCTGCTTTGCCTGCTCTGAATGCATTGGGCGGGGTTGCCCCCTGTGCTGTTGAGAGGTCTGGCTGCCCTCACCACAGGCACCTTCGTGGGCAAGGACAGCAGTCAGCCTAGCTGCGTGCAGGTAGACTTTATGATATAGCTGCAGGTGCACCAAAGGCCAGGGTGTGCTCCATGAACAGAGAGCTGAAAGGTCTGGCTGCTGGAGCTGTGAGTGTGCTGGTGTGGGAGCAGCAATCCCATGGGGGGGGGCGGTGCCAGTCCTGGCCAGGGCCACCTGCCAAGTGAGGCAGGGCAGGAGTCACTTCGGGAGCAGGCAGATTGAATCGGGTGGTTGCACACAAGATGGCCAGGTTGGAAGCATGCCATGCTAACGAGAGATGGACAGTGTTAGAAGTAGCTCCCAGAAGCATCTGGCTGTCTCGGCTGGGGAAGAGCAAGAAAAATGGCGCCCACCAGTCCTTCTGTTCCAGAGGAATCTCCTGCAGATCTCGGCTCCTCTGACAGATGTTCTGAGATTAGTTGATAAGCACCTGGGGTATACATGAAGGAGATTTATCAAACTGCTTCTGTGCTGTGTCTTGGGCCGTTATTTATATGCTGGCTCTTTAGGGGCAGGAACTCAGTTTCCTATCACCCTTGGGCTCTTCCAGAATTAAGCCCCAATAGTTTCCACAGCCAGACATTATGGGGAATTGTGTTCCCACTGCCAGGGGTACCTGGTGTGGGGTCTGATTGTCTTGCTTTTCCATGTTTGTGATGCCCCTCTTCTTTGCCGTTAGTTGTGCCAGGGGTTTGGTTCTCAACCCCATCTCCACTCCTCTTACCCTTTTTGACATGGCCTTCTCTCCATGACTAGCTATAGAAGATCGGTTCTGCCAGTCTTCAGGTAATTGTCAGGGTTAGCTATATACGTGTAGTTGATGCCTTGATGTGCCCATGGGATAAGGTGAGCTCAGGATCCTTCTCCATCTTCCGAATGTCTGTTTACGTTGATTCTAATAGTTCAACTGGTTAGTAGTTAGGGAGCTTTCTTTTTTTGCCAGAAAGTAGTGCTATAGCAGAAGTTCTTGGTTTCTCCTATGCGAACTGACTTGCTGCTAAGGTTTTGAGTGCACACATTAAAAAGCTGTTGGGAATAAAAAGGTGGTGGCAGAGTGGGGGTAAGTATGTGTTTAGTACTTGTGGCTTTGGGTGTGGCCTGGTAGGACTATCTTCCAGGGGAGGGTCCCAGAACATGGACTTCCAGCAACAGGGTGATGAGCCCTCTGTCTTTGGGGGAAAAACAAAAGGGGAGAATTGGTACTTGTTTATGCTCTCACAGTCAGTGATTGAAGGCTTACCTCTTTAATTTTTGGCTTGTTGCTGTAATCAGTTACTCCACCACCTGAAAGCACAGCTCTCCCAGCTCAGCTGAGCTCCTCCTGATGAAAGAAATTACATTTTTCCATTCCTAAAGCCACTAAGTATGGCTTGTGCTTAAAACATAAAATGAGTTTTAATAAATTTGCTCCAAAATATTTTATTAAGTTTTATATAAAAAACAAAATAGAAGTAAGTTATGTGTTACACTGAATAACACACTGAAAGCATGTGTATGGTTGTGGTTTCTAATTTCTCTATAAAATTAACCAGCCGTGATGGAATAAAGAGAAAGAGTACATATCCTATTCACCATTTTGGGGGGTACACTTCAAAGTACAAAAAGCATAATAGACTTTAAAAATTACAAATAAAAATCTGTACATCAAGGATATTTTTATGGCCTTTCCGCGTGCATAGCACTATGTAGAACGAGAGGAGGAACTGCCAAGAGAGGAACCATCGTATCAGGTGTTACAGGTCTGGCCCATTTGAGCTTGCAGGACCATCTCCTCTTTTCTCAAGGGGAAAGTATCGATCAGGTTGAAGAGGGCCACAGGCATCACCAGGGAGACATAGCGCTCCTTGTCCATGCCATGCTTATCCACTAGCACCATACTGAAGGAATAGAGTGGGATTCGCAGCAACAACCTAGGGCAGACAAAGAGAAGACTGTCAAACCTGACTCCCAAGGGTTCTGTTGGACCAACCAGAGCACTATAGTGATATTATGCAGAGAAAGGCTTACTACCGCCGACTTACTCATCTGAAGACCCTTGCTACTCACAGTATGGTGCTTGGACTAACAGCGTCACTGGAGAATCCCATGCTCCACCCTGAAACTGCTGAATTACAATCTGAGTTACTAACAAGATCCCCAAATGAATGGTATACACGTGAAAGGTTAAGTAGTACCGCTTCGCAACCGTCAGGAAGACACCGGGCCTGCCTCAGTGCACTATGTGCCAATAGTTACTACAAGGTATGTACGAAAATACTAATAGATTTTTTGCATTAAATTGGAGTCAACCCAAATTTACAGACTAGGTCTGCACAACCATGTACATACTAGAACTAGGGCCATGGTTAATAGGGGTGATTTTGCCCTCTAGGGAATATCCGGCTATGTCTGGACACATTTTTTTGTTGGCACAGTGAAGGGGAACGTCTAGCCTCTAGGGAGACGGAAGCCTCCCCCAGCAAAGAATTAGCTAGCCCCAAATGCCAATAGTACTGAGGCTGAAAAACCCTGGACTAGGTGAAGCTGACTGAAGGTAAGTCTCCAAACATTGTAGTTCTGGCCCATTCTGGCTTATTCAGTAGCCAGCTCAGGACTGCACAGTTAGAGGAGATTAAGCTTGGTCTACACTCTAGGTATATTAACTTGGTTAATTTTAATTTCTGCCTCAAATAATTCCCTCCCAAAAAGTCTGATTTTTTCTACTCTATCATGCTAGAATTTATATTGTGTAAAATAATGATTTTTATATGAACAGAAACATGTTTAGATGAAATAAGCCAGAGAAAACAACCAAGCTGATCAGCTGAGCCCACTGAAAAATAAGCCCAGTCTTTTTTTGATGTAGTGTTCCATGATTCATTGTTTACGTATAACACCCAGTGCTCCATTCAATACATGCCCTCTTTAATACCCATCACCAGGCTAACCCATCCCCCTACCCGCCTCCCCTCTAGAACCCTCAGTTTGTTTCTCAGAGTCCAGTGTCTCTCATGGTTCGTCTCCTCCTCCGATTCCCCCCCCCTTCATTTTTCCCTTCTTGCTTTTTTTCTTTTTAACATATAACGTATGATTTGTTTCAGAGGTACAGGTCTGTGATTCAACAGTCTTACACACTTCACAGCGCTCACCATAGCACATACCCTCCCCGGTGTCTATCACCCAGCCACCCCGTCCCTCCCACCCACCACTCCAACAAGCCTCAGTTTGTTTCCTGAGATTAAGAATTCCTCATATCAGTGCCACTCAGTCTCGATTTTACTTTTGACTTTACTTATCCAGAGGTTATGTGTAAGGCAGAATACACACTGCCATCTGTATTTAAAATGAAATATTTTTCCTCCCACAAAAGGATCAAGGGAAAAATATTCATTACTCAAAATCCAAACTGACTACACTTGCTCCTGCCTTTTAAGAGAGTTTCGGGTAAGATGGGAATAATTTATATTTTATCTCAGTGGGAGGTTAAATTGCTAATCCACCGATAATGACTAGAAGGAAAAGAAAGACAACATTAAAATATCTCTACCAGGTCTCCTGAGACGTAAGAGGGAAGCTCAGGAGTAGCTGACTGAGAAATGCATTAATGGAATGTTTGTAGACCATGAAGTGGGGCAAAATGGAGATAAACTGTGCTGCATCTTTAAAGAGAGGAGTATTTAGGTTTTTCTGGGGGAGAGGGGGATGTCCTAGGGCAGAAGGGTCCCAGAAAACAAGCGCAGAAAAGAAAGCCGGTCTGGAAGGAGAAAAGGGCCAAGCAATGTTGTGGTGGTTGGAGCCTGTGGGTTGCCTGTGGGGCAGCCCATGAGGGACTGGAGCATTTGATGTTATAGTGCTTCTGACGCTAGGATGGAAATCTCCCATGGTGTCACCATCTGCTCCACACACATTCCTCATGTGAGCCTTGTGCCTTGACTGACAGAATATAAAGAGGAGAAACGACCATGGGAAGAAATGAGTGTTCAGGCCAGCAGGCTATCACCAGTCACTGGAGTATATCCCACCACGGCCAAGAGAACACAGAAATCTTGGGGATGGATGATGGGACACCCCACAGGTTGGGGTGGTGGTGCCAGCAGTGTATTAGAGTTACATAAATGCCTGTCATCAGACTGGAATGAGCTCTTCCTGGAGAATCTTCTAGAAAACTCTGCAGACTCAGAAAATAATACGGGATGTTCTGTTTCAAGATGGCAAAGGAAGAATATCCTGAACTCCCCTCCTCCCATGGACACAAGAAATTTACAACTACATATGGAACAATTTCTTCTGAAAAAACACCTGAGACCAGGCAGAGTGACTACTACATTTCAGGAAATGAGAACAAAGCCACATCCAAGCAGGTATGAAAAGCTGAACTACAGTCTCAGCAAAAAATCCACATGCCCAGCACAGTAATACCAATCAAGAGGGAGCTGAAAACCTGGAGCTTTTCCCCGAGGATAAGAGTATTTCCACCCCTCTTGGGGAACCCTGTCTTGAGATCTGCACGAGGGAGCTCTCCCCAAATGGCTAGCTTTGAAAACTAATAGGGCTCAAGCACATGAGATGCGCAGGTCTGTGGTAAACTGAGAAATGGTGCTGACAGGGCCCAACATGCAAACTCACCCCAAAGTGCAACCCAGGAGCAGCCATTTGAAAAACACCCAGACATCAGGTGAGAGAGGCTCCTGATTGGGGGGCAGGGGCCTGAGGGAGAGTCTCCAGGGACGGAGGTTCGTGGGTGCCATTTTCACACTCCACCTCTGTCTTGCTAAGGCTAGTGGAAGCCATCTCTCTTTTCTTAGTTTTGGCCTTTGGGCTACTTCGTTATACTCCAGCCAGCAGGTGCCATCTTTGTGCTATCCTGCCTTCTAAAGCTGGTGGGCACGGTCTCTCTCCATCCATTCCTTGCTCTCCATCGTGCACACTCAAGCTCTCTTGCTTCCAGTCTGTCCATCGTGCTCACTTTCCCTCCAGCTCTGTCCATCTCTCTCTTCCCCAGCTCTTGCATGCACTCCCTCTCTGTCACACTCGTCTTCTCTCCATCTGTCCTTTGCACACTTGTTCCCCATTTCTCTCTCCCTTTCCCTCTCCTTCTCTCTGTGTGTCCATCTCTTGCTTTGTCTGTGTGTGTCTTCTATGCTCCATCCCCCTTCTCTCCCTTTTATCCTTCTCTTTCTCAAGCCCTGTTTCTCTGTATGTGTCTCTCTATGTTGGTGTGTCTTTCTACCTCTTTATCTCTCCCCATGTAGGTCTCGGTCTTTCTGTCTCAGCTTCCCCCTCTCTTCCTCTCTCTCCTCTTTTTTCCCTTACCCCTCTCTACATCCCTCTCACTCCATCTCGGTCCATGTCTCTTTCTCTGTGTCCATCTCCCCCACTCTGTCTCTCTCATTCTTCTCCCCCATATCACTCTACCCCCCCATTTGTGTGTGTCTCTCTCTCCTTTGCTCCTGTCCCCTCTTTACCCCCACCTCCCTCTATCCTTTTCCTCTTTCTAACCATCTCCTTACAGTTATTTGTGTCTTGGTCTCTCCCTGTGTGTGTCCCTCTCTTCTTTGCTCTGTCCCCCTCCCTCTCTGTCTCTCTTTATCCCTTTTTCAGTGAGTACCATCCTTTGCACTCTCCCTTTGCTTCACTCAAGCTGGTGGGCCCCATCTTCACACTCTCCATCTGCCTCCCTACAGCTCACTAGTATTTTCCAGAAAGGAGTGTACACCTTTTCTGGCTCCCTAATACTCGCTGATGCTGCTGCCAAGACACTTCTATATCATCTGGCTCTTGGGCCAGTGTTGCTTACACCTATAGGTCCTACAAGATGGTAACCAACAGGAAAAAGTTCTTAAACAGCTACCACCTTCAAGAGACAGCAGTTAGTTCAGACCCAGGAGTTCAGTCTTTCTGTGAAAGAGGTCTATTAGCTTATCATCATAGCTACAGCACGTGGGGTGGGCTTTTCATTAAATATACATCTAGGGACTGACTGTAAACCTTTCAGAGACCTTGGAGGGGAGATGCTATCTCTGTACTCTCCGTCTGCTGCTCTCCAGAGTACTAGCAGCTATGGGAGGGGACCTCACATAGTTTTTTTACATCTGGTGCCATGGTTTTTGTGGATGCCACACAGAGGATACCCCTTGATCACTTGGCTCTAGTGGCCAAAAAGACTTAACATTCCTGGGTGCCACCAGACTGTAACAATCAAGAAGACAGTTCTTGGTAGGCTATCACCTCTGGGGCACTGCACAGACAGATTAAAACAGATCCCATCTTTCTGTGAAAAATTCCTATTTCCTTATCCTGGAGCTTCATCCTGAGGGGCAGGCTTCAGCTTTAGCACACATCTAGGAACCTATAGGTCCTAGAAAAGCGCTTATTCACTTGTCTGAGGTCCCAATTTTTGTGACTGCCACCCAGGGGACACCTCCTGATCACACAGCTCAGATGACCAGTGGAGCTAACATTTACAGTCCCACAGCACTATATGTATATTTGCATCCTTAACAGCTGCTGGTTGGGGGTCTGGCTTCCAATGAGCCTGAATCTAAGTGCTAAGATTCTCACCGTTGGTACATGGATACATACTGGCACACTCTCAAATATTGGAAGCTACTGAAAATAAAATAGTCTGCTTAGAGAATCAGAAAGGTTTGAGAGAACCAAAAGCTAGGGCACAGATGACCAATAAAGATCATCTCCTATATAAGACCACCATTTCAACATTGGGAGAAGTGGCTGTTTCATCTAATGCAACAGAAGAATATGCTCCAAACAACATAGCAAGATCAAACCTTGGAAAACAAACCTTAATAAAATGGAGAAAAGTAATCTACCTGATGAAGAGTTCAAAGTAATGATCATAAAAATGCTCACTGAACTCGGAAAAAGATAAGTACCAAACAGAAGTCACAGACCCGAAGAATTCAATAACCGA